AACTTGTAAAAAAAAATTGCAATGCAATCAATGACATACTGGTATGTTTTTTTGTTAGAACGGGTAAATATGTACTCATTTGCATAGAAATATTATTATACTCATTTCCATAAAAATATTGTACTCATTTCCATAGAAATATTGTACTCATTTCCATAGAAATAGTGTACTGATTTAGAAATAGTGTACTCATTTCCATAGAAATATCGTACTCATTTCCATAGAAATATTGTACTCGTTTCCATAGAAATATTGTACTCGTTTCCATAGAAATTGTGTACTCGTTTCCATAGAAATATTGTACTCGTTTCCACAGAAATATTGTACTCGTTTCCACAGAAATATTGTACTCGTTTCCATATAAATATTGTACTCGTTTCCATAGAAATATTGTACTCATTTCCATAGAAATATTGTGCTCATTTCATAGAAATATTGTACTTGTTTTCATAGAAATATTGTGCTCGTTTCCATAGAAATATTGTACTTGTTTCCATAGAGATATTGTACTCTACTCATTTCCATAGAAATAGTGTGCTCATTTCCATAAAAATAGTGTGCTCATTTCCATAGAAATAGTGTACTCATTTCCATAGAAATAGCGTACTCATTTCCATAGAAATAGCGTACTCATTTCCATAGAAATAGTGTGCTCATTTCCATAGAAATATTGTGCTCATTTCCATAGAAATAGTGTGCTCATTTCCATAAAAATAGTGTGCTCATTTCCATAGAAATAGTGTACTCATTTCCATAGAAATAGCGTACTCATTTCCATAGAAATAGCGTACTCATTTCCATAGAAATAGTGTACTCATTTCCATAGAAATAGTGTACTCATTTCCATAGAAATAGTGTATTCATTTCTATAGAAATATTGTACTCGTTTCCATGTAAATATTGTACTCATTTCCATAGAAATATTGTACTCATTTTCATAGAAATAGTGTACTCATTTGCATAGAAATAGTGTACTCATTTGCATAGAAATATTGTACTCATTTGCATAGAAATATTGTACTTGTTTCCATGTAAATATTGTACTCATTTCCATAGAAATATTGTACTCATTTCCATAGAAATTATCTTCATGAC